AAGGGTGCTTTTTTAGTGGTTTTTCGTATCTGGCGTAGCACAGACTCTAATTATTGTTAGAACCAATAGTTGTAATTTGCAAGGATACAGATTATCTTATAAGACGGAATACATCTGCTTCAGATGACCGACTGACGCATGCACATTGACTTAATGTCTCGTGCTAGCGTAGTCAGAATATTCTAACACCTTCTAATTCCACCTCCTCCGTACATTAACTGACATCATTAAGAACTTTCTACAGTCTATGTAATGATACTTTTTTCGAAAACGTTTAAAACATTCTTGATAATGAAGAGTTCTTGAATTTGATTTTAAATTTTTCACCTTCAAGATCTTTTCCCCATCTCTTAAGAGGGTCTCAATGGGGTAACCGTTAGCCATAAAACGGGCCAAAAATGTAACAGTACAAATCGGTAAATTTTAACCTTAAGTCGTAAAAAGTGTTAATCGTAAAAAAAAATTTAGCCACGAAAGTGAGTCACAAGAGCTCTTGTCAAGACTTACTACGGTAGTAAGGTAGGTAGTTAAAGTCTGCATACAAGCCAAGTGGCTCATTAGGCCGGAACTTATCCCGGTTTCTGTAGCATGAAGCGACTAGGAGTATTTCTACTTCCCCCTGGATTGCATGCTAGTCCATTACGGGGTTACCCCCAGCATTAAATTCGCCGGTACCCAGGCGTTTTTACTTTTATCATATTTTAGTTTGGACCTTTACTATGTTTTACAGTGATCAAAATAGATTTTTAACCTTTTTAAACAATGAAAACTAATTTATGGGTGATTAATTTCTAAGATTTCTGTTAACCGTAGGGAAATTTAAAAACCCGTTAACCGTAAAAAGGCCAAAATATTTACCGTTAGCCGTAAAAGTCACAACCTTAGTGAGAGCATCTTCTGACGAAATTTACACTGCCGTTTCTTTGTCAACAACCATCAAACACTCTACAACTTCACAAGGATCTTCTTCCGAAACTCTAAAGTATCTTTGTACGTATTTCTCAAAAAACGAAGGCCTTCTTTTCTTCTCGTCGAGTTCATCCGATTTCATTTTAATTTCTGTGCGACCCGGTCTTCTCATCGGTGCAAAGACTGGAACTAGTGATAGGACGCACGTGCATACTGCAATGGAAGCACCCGAGAAGTAAAATGCCTCGTTGTAGGTACTGGTGATGTCGCTGAGAAAACCTGAAAAACAAGTGTAAAATCACACTAAACCGGTTACTCCTTATCGCACGCAGTATTTAGAACTCTTTTAAAACTACGAAAAAAAGTTTTGAAACTTGCCTAATTCTGTACGGCTTTCTCCCAGACCCTCACGGTCAACTGATTTCGGTGACGTATTGGAGACTAACGGCCTGGAGTCGCCTTTTAGCCTCGGACCACGTGACCCGAAAGCAATTGACCGACCCGTTGTTATGTCCGGTTTCTATTACTATCTACAGCCATCATTATGTGATAAACATTGCATAACCATAAAAGCAAATCTGCTCGATTCCTTCGTGAAAACGTGGTTCTCATTTTCCTTTGCGGGGAAAAGCAGCAACAAAATAGCGACGATGTCTATGCTTTGGATATAAAAAATTCCAAATCTCATCACTTTTATAGGATGTCTCCCTTTTTCTTGAAACGTGAAAGGTCTGTTTGTGCCGTTTGCCCCTTTTTCAGGTCCTCTCTCCCAGTTGTTCTAAAGCCTGGGACGAGCCGACGAAGATTTTAACCAAGTGGAACAAAATTATCGCTTTAGGTTATACACAAGAAATAAACTTGGGAAAAGCATACCTGCAATAAGGGATCCTGTCATGATCGGCACAGAGAAGACTAAATAGAGAAAGCCAAGAGCTGAAGGCAGCTTACTATTTCCGACAATATCACCAGTGAGAACAGCAATCAAAGCTACGAACGCGCCGTCAAAAATCCCGAACAAGATCGTGTAGACGATGAGCCCGCCATAGCTTGTGGCCAGTGGACACAGCGTGGTGGTAACAGCCATTACCAGCAGTGCTGTTTGGTAAAGGTACAGTCGATTGATCCACTGGTAATCCGAGACGTGGCCGAAGAAAAGCCGTCCAAATAACGAACCAACCGACAGGAAGCCGATGAGAAAAGATGCTTTCGATTCAGGAATATTTAAGTAACTTGCATGGGTCGGCTGTCAGTAAATAGAAAAATAACATCAATTTACAACAAGACAGATTCAACTGGAATCTCACCTTTCAAAACTGTTGGCAGTAAAACACAGCTTTACAACGAGAGGCATGATGACTGTAAGGCATGATGTACCTCAATTTCCTCATAGCAAACAATAAAAGAAATATATAGGGCTCGGTAAGGAGATTTAACATTTTGAGCTTAGTTATGGAACAGTTCATCTGAATTGACAAATCAAACGAAGCAGCAAAGCAAAATGGAACAAGGAAATGGATCCAAACTTACCAGGTATACAAAAGGAACAAAATAGCCCAAGTTGAAAATTGCAAGCGCAAATGCCCACACGACGAATCCCTTGTTTTTCCACACGGATATATCAATAACCTTTTTCCTTTTCTGTTCAAAATTAACCTCGCTCTTCACAGGTGGGGGTCTGTACGTCAAGGCAGCCAACACCATGGCGCAAGCAACACCACCAATGATTCTCATCGTGTTACGCCAGCCAACCCTTTCCAAGAGCATGTTTATAGTAGGTCCCATAACTAGAGCACCGACTGCGCTCCCTGCTGTAATTATTCCATTTGCTAAGGACTTCCGACGTTCAAAGTACCTGCCCACCATTAGGAATGTCGGGACGAAACACATACTGGAGCCCATTCCCCACAAAATGCTGTAAGTCAGGTAAATGGAAACAAGGCCGTTGACGAAGGAAGTTGCAAACAAAGCGGTGACGGAGATGAGTCCACCGACCATGGCGACGACTCGACAACCAAAACGATCACAAAGTGCGCTCGTGAAAGGGCCAAAGAAAAAGTTCATGCCGAGGCCCATAGAGCCTATATAACCTGCAAAGAAGTAAAGCAGCAAATGATAATTGCGAAACAGTAACAGCTTCGTTGAATTAGATTACGAGTAGTCCCTCTTTCGCTTAGTCCGTCGTGCGTGACGCGAACTGAAAGAAAACCGCGAGAAATCCTGAGAGCGTGAAGCGCGCTTCTCGCGCGGCCATTTTTTCCTCGAGGCTTTCCTTCGTGTCACGCACGACGGACTAAGCGAAAGAGCCCTGCACCACTCGTAGTCTATCATTGAGTTAATGATTAAATCGATCCCTCCATGAAAATTCAGGTAGCCTCAAGTGAGAGCAGTGCACCAACTTCCTCGCTCAACTTCGTAATAACAAGCCAAAGCAACATGGTAAAACTGAATTAATGTATTCAAGAATGATAATTGTGGGACTAGAATTCCAGCCTGGAACAATGCCACTGGCCAACTTGTAAAACAAGTACAAAATATTAACATTACACGAATGACTAACTTTTCAATTGTCTTTTTCATGAAAATTATTATGAAAAAATTACGGCACGTGACTATACCGCGAATCACGTTTGAAGACAGAAATTAAAGGTCTTCTCACATTCACGCCAAAATAAACAATTCAAGGCTCACGAGAATAGTCTTTGCCATCCTGTGTTTAGTTTGTCAACATTTTTAAGGAAAGAATGAGTAGTACGGGAATCGGCAAGAAGTTAGTAACGGACCCCTGATGCGCCACAGTGAAATAGTCACGTCGATTTGAAAACGGTTTGAGGTGATTTGCGAATCATTGAAAACAAATTTCCAGCTGTGTTTTCTCTAAGGAGACAAGCGATGTATGTTTTGCGCTCACGTGATCTTCAACCAGTAATGCGCAAA